AAATAAATAAAATCTTTAAAAATAATAATAGTAATAATGTCTTTATTTTCCCACTGCTTAAAGATCTATTTTGTCTTTCATGTTCCACAGTTTCACTGTAACAAGTCATCTATGGGTGAATTTTCTCTACCATAAGATAAATGCTTATTATCCCACTTTTGTTAGTTTTCCCCAAATCTGTGAAAAAGAAAACCCTTAATCACTTTCTCTTTGAATATTCTCTTTCTTGGTCTATTCTCTTTTTTGACTTTGGGGGCCCCACATTCACTTAGCATTTTGGCCTTTGATTATTCCTTTTTAATTTACTCACCTATCAATGCTATTTTTAAAGACTTAAAAATATGTATTTCTACCTTTTACTTTTTTCAGTGAGAGAACTGGTCAGAATACCTAGTCTACTCCATTATAGGAAATTTAGGTTCCCTAACATGATTTTTATTTTACATCAATTTTAATAGGAAAAGCACACAAAATCCCAACTCTCAGCTCAATTCTTGCTTAATCCACCTCCAACCATGTGTGCTACCAGCTGTTTGCCAAATGCCATTTAATTGCTAAGGAAGTGGGAAACCATTGCCTGTAATTAAGAAGGTTTGCTGGTTAGAGAGATATTTTCTGTTGCTTTTACCTTTTCCAGTATGTGAGATCTAAAAAGGAAAAAACTGGCGTTCTGTTAGAGCCAGAGGCCATCTCTGTATCTGAACCATCATCTGACTGGTTACTGTAACAAGGAGATTGAGCTGGGGAGGCACTTGAGGTGGTACTGTGAGCATCAGAATCTGTAATAAGGAGAAAAAAAATGTATAATTTCATTATCTGCAACTAAGGCTCAGCATAAAAAACTGTGAATGAATTAGTAAAAGGATTTATTTTCTATTCACTACTTGTATTTGAAGACATTTGTACTAAAGTGTTTCTAAAAGAAAATGAGGACATAAGCTTCCAGGAAGATAAGAATAGACATACTTTTTCCCCATTCCTCCTACTACTACTAAATAAGTACAACTAAAAACCCTGGATATTACATATAAAACAATCCTAAAGACTCTAAAAGTTGGCAAGTTAGAGAGCTTGACCCAAGGAAAGACACGGTGTTGAGTTCCCTAGTTTTTATGGGTTTTCTTTTTGCCTCATAAATCCCAGTCTTGGAGCTATAGAAGCCAGCAACCCAGAAATGCCAAATGGGTATAGAGCCAAAAAAAAAAAAAAAAGTGCCAACAAAACCCTGCTCTCTAAACAAAAGGCCAGGAGCAAAGTGGTAGCCTAAAAAGACAGCAAACTTTTATTAGACAATAATCACTCTACTCAAGCGCCAAAAAAAAAAAAAAAAAAGGACCCAACCCCACCCACCCCAGCATAGGCCAAGTGGGGAGCCTAAGATTTCCATCCTTATAAGATTGGTATGAAACCCTCAACAACTCCACCAGGGTGTCAAGAGGAAGCCTGTTGAAGACTCAGGACTTTCATCATGGCCCACCAGGAATGAGTACCCCCACCATGTGGGAGCTTTAACTCCCACCCCCATCCCATAGCAATGAGGCGCTCCTCCCACCTCAGGTGTCAATGGAGGTTGAGGGGGGAACGTGACTTTTAACACCACTGGGCAGTAACTTTTAACACCTCTGCTACAGGGGTGTCCAAAAAACCCAGTAAAATCAAAGGTTTAAATAAGATCCATAACATAATTTTTAAATGTCCAGGTTTCAATTTTTTATTTAAATTCAATTTAATTAACATATACAGTATTATTAGTTTCAGAGATAAGAGTTCAGTGATTCATCAGTTGCATGTAACACCCAGTGCTCATTACTTCAAGTGTCCTCCTTAATCCCCATCACCCAGTTACCTCATCCCCCCAGCCAACTCCCCTCCTGCAATCCTCAGTTTGTTTCCTACAGTTAACAGTCTCTTAATGGTTTGTCTCCCTTTCTATTTTCATCTGATTTTATTTTTCCTTCCCTTCCCCTATGTTCTCTGTTTTGTTTCTTAAATTCCACAGGTTTCAATATAAAAAAATGCCTCAGGGGTGCCTGGGTGGCTCTGCCAATTAAAGGCCCGACTCTTGATTTCGGCTCAGGTCTTTGATCTCAGGGCCTGCAGGTTTGGGCCCCACTTTGGACTCCACACTGGGCATGGAGACTACTTTAAAAAAAAAAAGAGGGGTACCTGAGTGGCTCAATTGGTTAAATGTCTAACTCTTCATTTCAGCTCAGGGTCATGATTTCAGGGTCCTGGGATCAAGCCCCATCTAGAACTCTGCTCAGCAGGCAGTCTGCTTGAGGATTTCTCTACCTCTGTCCTTCCCTCCCCCCACCTTGCACTCTCTCTCAAATAAGTCAATCTTAAAAAAAAAAAAAAAATCCTTCAGAGGGGCACCTATGGTAGAGCTCAGTTGGTAGAGCATTTGACTCTTGATCTTGGGGTCATGAGTCCGAGTTCCACACCCAGGGCAGAGTTTACATACATACATACATAAAAGAAAAATTTAAAAAAAACCCATATCCAGAACCAAGATCTCAAACTGAAAGAAAAGGTAAGCAGATGTTAGCACCAAGATGACAGAGATGTTAGAATTAACGGACCAAGATTTTAACAGAACTATGACAAAAATGCTCCAGTGAGCCATCATGAACATGACTGAAACAAATAAGAGTCTCCATGAATATATCTCAGTTTAAAAAATAAAAGCTACAAAGAAGAACCAAGTGGAACTGAAATTTGAACTGGGAAAAAAAGAAAAAAACCAATAAATGAAATAAAAAGCTCAGTGGATGTGCTTAACAGCAGAAAGGAGGGAACAGAGGAAATAATCAATGAACTGGAAGAAAGAACAACAAAAATTACCCAACCCGAACACCACAGAGAAAACAACTGAATAGAGACTTAAGAGACCTCTGGGACTATAACAAAAAAAATCTGCATTTGTGCCACTGCAGTCCTGGAAAGAGAGAGAGGGTGGAGGCGAAAATGTACTCAAAGAAACAGAATGGCTGAGAACTCGCCAAATTTGGCAAGAGACATAAACCGATATATTCAAGAAGCTGAGCAAACCCCAAACAGGATATACTCCAAGAAATCAATACCAAGACACACCATTAACTAAATTTCTTAAAACTAAAGATAGAGGAAAAAAAATCTTAAAAGCCACCAAAGAAAAAAACAATACCTTACCTATACAGGAAAAACAGTAAGATTTTGATTTCAAATGGAATAAAGGCAGTTCATCAGATACAAGCTAAACATGATTTAGTATTTTTGCCCTTAAAAGACAAGTCAAATTTACAAGCCAGAAAATAAATGTTTTGGTTGATGGTCACCATGCTCTAAGGTTTTCATGCTGCTATTTTCCAGTCACAACAATATCACAAGTAAGGGTCAAGCTTACCACACTCCCCCATCCCAGGATAGGTGGATAGAGCAATCCTCCAATTCAAAGAACCAATTATTTTTTTTAAAGATTTATTTATTTGAGAGCGAGCCCATGCAAGTGGGGGGAGGGGCGGGGGAAAGGGAGAAAGGGTCTCAAGCAGACTCCACACTGAGCATGGAGCCCAAATGGGGACTCCCATCTCCTCACCCTGAGAGATCAAAACCCAAGAGTCTGACACATAACCCACTGCGCTACCCAGGCGCCCTCCAATTAGTATTTAGTAAGGACGTACCTATTACATATCAAACCCCATTTCATATGCTACATGGCAAGAAACAGACTAAAAAAAACCCTATGAAGAGAGCTTATAGTGTTTTGTATTAACAAAAGTTTACCTACAAAATCCTCAAGAATAGCAGGCTTTAAGAAATAAGTCTACTGGAATGTTTAAAAGACTTTCCCAACAATCAGAAGCAGCAGCAATCAGCTCGATGCTGGTTTTGAAGAAAACTCACTATCCTAGGAAGTGCTTAGTATCTAAGAAACAATTTTGAAGCTGCAGTTTATTAAACCATTTTCTACCTATAAAAATGGCAATTTCATATGGTTTAATCTAACACTTGGGATACTAGAATAAAACTAACTATATAAGAATGCAGTAAGGAAGAAAATTCCCTTCTAGAATGCAGGCCTAGAAATTCTTCAAAGAACTACAATTTTTAAAATGTTAAAAATTGTGGAATTTGAAAAGGCACAAAGGAGTAATTATCTAGCATGGGGTAGGTAGAGATGATAAGCAAAGTAGTGGAAGCAGAACTCACCATGCACAGGAAGGGAACTGACTCAGCCCAAATATTCTTTGCCTAAAATAGGACCTCCAAAAGACCCACTAGGGATTTTCAACTTTATTCCATAGCAACCAGAATTCATTGTAGATTTTAAGAAGGATGACAGGGGCGCCTGGGTGGCTCAGTCATTAAGCGTCTGCCTTCAGCTCAGGTCATGATCCCAGGGTCCTGGGATCCAGCCCTGCATCGGGCTCCCTGCTCTGCGGGAAGCCTGCTTCTCCCTCTCCCACTCCCCCTGCTTGTGTTCCCTCTCTCGCTCTGTCTCTCTCTGTCAAATAAATAAATAAAATCTTAAAAAAAAAAAAAAAAAAGGATGACAAAAAGAGTAACATTTATATAGGAATTTGTTTTGTTTTATAAAACCCTTTTTAACCTGATTTATCCCCATTTCTCAGATTAGAAAAATATGGTTCAATGTTCAGTGCCACGAGGGTCACATATTTGTTAAGTTTCAAGAACAGTAACTCAAATCCAGATCTTTAAGCTCTAGGTCTAATGCCTTTCCAGTACACCACACAAAAGAAAGAATATCTCAGAAAGAGAAATAAAGGTCAGGTACACACAGGATGCATGGAAGCAAATACATAACCAGAGGTGGGAACACCATTTAGTGGGTGATGTATAAAAATTCAAGTAACTGTTGTGTTGCACACAGGTGCTAGCAATTCACAACGCACACGGGAAAACCCTGCTTCAGTCTAAGCGTACAAAGCCCACACACCTTTTTCAAGGGGACTTATTTTCAGTCTCCAATCCCTCCCTCCACAACACAGCTTTATAATAAAAATCTAAAATTACACTGGAAATATTCCCTTAGGTAAGGCAAAACTGAGTCAGGTATCACTTTCCCTATAATTAAAGGGAGGAGCTAAGAATATACATATGAATAATCAATTCCTCTAACCTTCAAGTGGTAGAAGAAATTACTATTTCCCAAATGTTCATTAAAACTTAGTTGGAGGGGCGCCTGGGTGGCTCAGTCGTTAAACGTCTGCCTTCAGCTCAGGTCATGGTCCCAGGGTCCTGGGATCGAGTCCCACATCGGGCTCCCTGCTCCACGGGAAGCCTGCTTCTCCCTCTCCCACTCCCCCTGCTTCTGTTCCTGCTCTCGCTATCTCTCTCTCTGTCAAATAAATAAATAAAATCTTTAAAAAAAAAAAAAAAACTTAGTTGGAAAAGAGGGTAGAATTAATCTTTTTCTTTTCCCCGGGTGATAGCTGATTAAGAAGGGAACATATGTAAACAAATAATCCAGTAACAAAATGGGCAGAGGACCTTAATAGACATTTTTCCAAAAAAAGAAAAGAAGGACAAAATATAGTAAGTGTTGGCAAGGATGTGAAGAAAAAGGAACCCTTGTGCACTGTTGTTGGGAATGCATACCGGTGCAACCACTGTAGAAAACAGTATGGAGGTTCCCTCAAAAAAATTAAAAATAGAAATATGTGATCCAGTAATTCCACTACTGAATATTTACCCAAAGAAAATGAAAACACTAATTTGAAAAGATGTATGCACCCCATGTTTACTGAAGCATTATTTATAATAGCCAAGGTATGGAAGCAACCCAAGTGTCCATCTATATAGATAAACAAATAAAGATGGGGGGGTTGCACATGTATGTATATGTGCACACACACATGCAGAAATATTACACAAAAGAAGGTTTGCAATGATGTGAATAGAGCTAGAGAGTATTATGCTAAGAGAAAGACAAATACCATATGATTTCACTCATATGTGGAACGTAAGAAATTAAGAGATGAACATGGGGGGGTTGGCAAACCAGAAAACAGACTCTTAACTATAGGGAACAAACTAGGGGTTACTGGAGGGCGGGCGGGGGGAGAATGGGCTAAATGGGGGATGGGTATTAAGGAGGGCACGTGTTGTGATGAGTATTATATGTAAGTGATGAATCACTAAATTCTACTCCTGAAACTAAAATTACATTGTATGTTAACTAACTGGAATTTAAATAAAAACTTGGGGAAAAAAACATTTTTTAAATAAAAAAGAACATGTATAATTAAAATACACACATATTTGATATTACCTAAATATTTTACTATAAAGTATTAAAATATTTTAGCCAAAGATTAAATATATCATCAGAATAACTATGGACTAGTAACACCTACTTAAAAGAGCAGAAAGTTAGCAGAAGATCTGCAAAGATTTCAGAGTCGTGGGTATTGATTATACTACCCCAGAGAGCAGAGTGGTATTACAGAAAGAGCACAGGGCTTTGAAGTCAAGACAAACCAGAGGTCGAATTCATCTCTACCATCTTTACTAAGTGACCTGGGTCAAGGTTAAATCACCACTCTACTTCCTATCCTAATCTCTAAAACAAATTATTGAGATAGTTATGTATGTAAAGTGCTTGGTACATATACCAAAATGCCCAAGAGATGATAGTTCTCCTTTCCTCACTCTACCTTGTTAGTATATTTAACTATCTTTTACCATTATTCTAAAACAAGCATGGATTGGTAATATTTTGTCCTACAAATTGTTATTATATTTGTCCTACAGGGTCCAACAGATTGTTCTTTTAATCCTGAAAACTCTATTACCAGTCCACAACCCCTTACCTACAATTTTGAAAAAGCTCTGAAAACAGAAAGTTCGGCCACAAAATCTGGCCTAACCTGAATTATAAAATTAGGGTAGCTAAGGGACGCGTGGGTGGCTCAGTCGCTTAAGCGTCTGCCTTTGGCTCACGTCATGATCCCAGGATCCTAGGATCGAATCCCACATCTGGCTCCTTGCTCAGCAGGGAACCTGCTTTTTCCCTCTGCCTGCCGCTCCCCCTGCTTGTGCTCTCTGTCTCATTCTCTTCCCCACCCCCTCTCAAATAAATAAAATAAAAATAAAATCTTATTAAAAAAAAATTAGGGTAGTTAAACCTGACTAGCCCATGCAAGTTTTATTTATTCCACCTATGTGAATACTCCTAAATTTGTGCTACAGAAATACTAATGTGTGTGATTCAGTAGTGCTGCCTTAGAAACCCTCCTACTTGATGCAAATGCTACATATAACATTATATGCACTGCATTTCCTTTTCAAACCCTGAAATTCTAAACTCCAAAATATTTAAGTGCCACTACAGGTACTCTCTCCTTCAACAACTTCCGTTAAGAGTATATGAACCTGATATTAGTTTGTCATTCCTTTCCCATTCCATCACACACAACACACACTGCCCCAGAAACCTAAAGTCCTGAGGCTAGCTTTACTGCAATATGTGAGTTATGATCTCTAAAGTTACTTTCCAGAAAACCTGGGCTTTGGTCTCATATTGTCCACTAATTATTTACATACCTTTTCTGCACATCTCCAGACCTCAATTTCTTTATGCATAAAAAACAAGTGAACAAACTGGAAAAACGCATCTAGAAAATTTCAGATGGTAATAAAGAGATCAGAGCAGTCAGAGAGGTCTCCACACAATCTGAAGAAGTGGCTACTCAAAGTACTTTGATGGTATCAAAATTAGAGTTTCAAGAGTCCATAGAAATATCTCTACAGTACATAATGCCTTCACATTTTTTAAAAGAAATTTAAGAAATCATATGCCACCCCAGACAAAAATAAAAACCAAACAACTATCCTTAAGTACCCATATTTCAGTATCAAACTTACTGTGACGTTTAAATTCCTTCTGTAGTTTACTGATCTGGTTGCTTTTTATCCTGTTTCCAGATAGAGTTTTCACTTTCTTTGGTTTCAATGTAGTCTTCAGACTGGGTCCTGCCCTTGCATCTACCACCTGGAAGAAAATACTGAATATTTAATACCATTTAAAAAATGACACCTCTTGTATTCCTTTGGTTCAGATAAATGCCTATTTGAAGAAGCCAAAATTGAGAACCAGTTTTCTACTCAGAGTGTTTGAGTCCACATGAACTTTTAATCACCACATGATAGTAAAGAATAAACAGTTCATCTAGTATTTTTTCCTTTGAAGCAAGCAATAGTAACAGTGTGCTGTACAAAAAATCGGAATAGATTTATATATGGTAAGAATGACCAAGAGGTTAAAAAAAATCAAGCCTAACAACAACTAACATTTCTACAGGACAGTGTTTTAAGGTTTACAAAAAGCTTTCATACACTTTTGATTTTACCCTTCACTACAAAGTAGTGAGGGAACTATTTTTGTTACTCCAATTTAGGGTGAAGGAAAACAAGAGAAATTCTCTTTCGCCTTATTTCACTAAGATAGTAAATGGGAGAGAATGGGTAGAAAGGGGTACAAGACCAAATCAAGGTTTTCACACCTACACTTTATGCTCTTTTCACTATACGCTTTTATCCCTGAGGTCATTTACATGGCAATGGTATGTTCTCTCACCGCCTAGCATGGCACTGGTCCAGCCCTGCATGGTACCACTTCTCATGAACTCATTCACCTTTACTATTTGCACATTTCCACCCTTAAAAAGGTTGCCATCACCTTCAAAAATCACAATTTGGATTGTCTCTGGATAAGCTATTAATAAGAGAAAACTCACTTTTTAAGTAACTTTTTTTAAGTCATAAGACCCACAAAAACCTATCATAATAATGTAACATGGTCACCAAACGACAATGTAAGGCTAGTGTTAGGAAAAAAGATAAAGAGGGGCGCCTGGGTGGCTCAGTCGTTAAGCGTCTGCCTTCGGCTCAGGTCATGATCTCAGGGTTCTGGGATCGAGCCCCGCATCGGGCTCCCTGCTCCGCGGGAAGCCTGCTTCTCCCTCTCCCACTCCCCCTGCTTGTGTGTCTGTTCTCGCTTTGTCTCTGTCAAATAAATAAATAAAATCTTTAAAAAAAAAAGGAAAAAAGATAAAGAATAAATGTCTGCCTGCTTAAAAACAAGTATTCTGTATAAATGCCATAAACGTTCTAAAAGCTAGCATACAAAAGAATAAGTAAGACTTAACAGTGTTGTTTTTGGTCATTGAAAACCAGTGACCATGAGCAAGTAGAACACACATTTACATACCAGTATGACCTCAACTAGATTTAAATATAGAGAATAAGAATAGCTTCCACATAATTGATCACTATGTGTTAGACTTTATATAATCTCATTCAGTTCTCTTAAGAGCTATGAGATAGCTATTATCCTTGCACTTTATAAGTAAATGTAACTTGCCCAAAGTTCACAATTACTAAGTGGTAATGGCAGGATTCAAATCCAGTTGATTCTAAACCCTATGTGCTCATGATGGTACCACAGTGAGTTAGGATAAATGTTATCCTAAGAGATGAAAAAAGGATCCATGTCTAATTAACTGGAGGAATGTGTGTTAAACCTAAAAATATGTGAATGTACACTGTGAATCTCCAAAATGAGGATATTGGATACAGCCTTAGGGAAATGCTACACCAAGCTATTTTGCTTCTAAACATGCCAAAATGTTAAGTAATTATATCTGAGCAGTAACCGGTGTTTTTCTTTATTTTTTTCCACTTTTCCATCTGAGGGATGTACTACTTCCTAAATTAGGGGGAAAACTAAATTTACTTTAAATGTAATAGAGGTACAACTGACAAAGACAAAAGATGAACTAACATGATTCCAGTTTTTTTTTGATCCTGCTGGCAATTTCTTCCATCTTTTCACAAGCAGGACACAGGCGTTACAGATGATTCCAGAACGGGTCTCATGCAACCTGATAAGAAAACAATCAAACCTTTATTAGTCTCATTTACGTTAAAGAATTCATGCAGGGGCACCTGGCTGGCTCAGTTGGCAGAGCATGCAATTCCTGCTCTGGGGGTTTTAAGTTTGAGCCCCACGTTGGGTGTAGAGATTACATAAAAATAAAATGTTAGGAGGGAAAAAAAGAATTCATGCAATTACATTTCTTTTAGGAAAAAATACACCCGATTATAGTTTATAGATGCTATTTCTAATTGTCCTGGGTGACCCAGTTCCATTGTTTCTGTGGTACTTTTTGTAAATATAATTAAATCCTTGATCCAATGAACCAATTCTATGTACTGCAATTTGGTCATCCTAAAATAATGTTTTTAAAATTAAATAACAGTAAAATTTAAGACCTAGAGAAGATCCTTGTCACCACAGTTTCAAACAATGTAGTCCAATTAATCTTTCTGAAGTGTGTAGGTACTTCCACAAACAAAATGTCACCTTTTAAGTAAAATAATGTACCATGATATTCTAGTTTTTTTTTTTTTAATGATTTTATTTATTTATTTGACAGAGAAAGACACAGCGAGAGAGAGAACACAAGCAGGGGGAGTGGGAGAGGGAGAAGCAGGCTTCCAGCTGAGCAGGGAGC